TTGGTCTACTTTGCTCTGATTGGTCAGATGGCTCAGTCTGTTGTGATTGGTCTACTCTGCTCTGATTGGCCAGGCTCAGTCTGCTGTGATTGGTCTACTCTGCTCTGATTGGCCAGGCTCAGTCTGTTGTGATTGGTCTACTCTGCTCTGATTGGCCAGGCTCAGTCTGTTGTGATTGGTCTACTCTGCTCTGATTGGCCAGGCTCAGTCTGTTGTGATTGGTCTACTCTGCTCTGATTGGCCAGGCTCAGTCTGTTGTGATTGGTCTACTCTGCTCTGATTGGCCAGGCTTAGTCTATTGTAATTGGTCTACTCTGCTCTGATTGGCTGGTTTGTGATTCTGAGAAGTAAGTTGGTCCAAATAAACTGAGTACTGAGCCGTCTTTCTAGAGCAAGAAGTTTGAGAATCCCACGTTGAACTCAGAGATTTAAGAAGCAGTCGTCAGTAAAGTTACGTTTAATGACGTTTATGCAAATGTATCTTCTATTGATGTAGAACTGTAAAGCATTGGGATTCGGAACACAAATGAGTCATAAAGGCGGTTCACTTTCCACTTTACAATTTTGCAGAACGTTTACATCCACAAATAGCTATATTACAGTGCATAATATAAGGAAAATTCTGTGAACCAAAACAGGCCACTTTAAACAATCATTCATGCAACAATATGGGGATCCTTATTTTTTGTTTGGACGGCCGACCTGTGTTTTGACCTATTGCCGTGTCTGGATTGCCCCTTAGTTAAAGCTGCATTGATCCCAACTTTCGTGTCTCGGAGCAGTTCGCGACAGTAGGCTAACTTTTAACAAACGTTCTATTAACGTTACGGTTTCATTCATGCAATCAAAATATTTAGTTCCCAAAGATATGAATTAATTTAGCGGTTATGACATTGTAAAGCAGATTGCAGTAAGCTAACTACGTTGCATTTAATTGCATTTAAAATTTACATATGCTGGATAAACTTTTTTTCAAAACTCCCTTGTATGTTTTGGACTAATTTATTATTCTAAAGGTGGTGAAAACATTTATTTTTGAGTTCTTAAGTTCTGAATATTTGCTTGAGTTCTGAACTCAAGCTTCTTCCATATTTCTTTTCCTGATTCTTTACATTTGTGTTTTTCAGATATTAATGTCTATAACTGAATGTAGTTGTGTCTTTAGTTCCAGTGTGTTGTGATGGAGGAAACACTGACTCGTGGGAGCTGAGCATTTCTACGCCAGTATTCTGGGCTCTTTATGTGTCCTGACAATAAGATTTATCTAGCAAACATTACCGTTGTGAAAAATACATATTTAAACAATTTTTTCTCAGACAAACAAAGAGACAAAGTAAAGGGCAATGTTGGGGTTGGTGAATGTCCCGTGGAGGAGTAGTAGTCTCGCTCCAGCGCTCCTGAATGAGGGGAGAAGGTGAGGTCTCGCTCAGGCCTCGGGAGAAAAGCTGGCTGTCGGCGGAGACAAAACACTGGAAAGATGATTAAAAAGCTGTCAGGGTGTGTGTCGAAGACTCTTCCACTAAACAAATACACAACACACAATATGGCCGGCACTAGAGAGGTAAAGCCAGACTCTCGCATTGCCACTTGTGTTAGGAATCAATGATCTAAATAAAGAAATGAGCTGTTGAGCACTTTGCAGATTCAGCCCTCGAGGGGAGAGACTAGACTTGCTACGCTAGTCGGTGTTAGCAGCGTTAGCGGTGTTCAGAAGAAACAGCGGTTACATGCAGCGGTTACAGGGTGGTGATGGCGCAGTGGATGAGACACATGCCTTTGGTGTGAGAGACCCGGGTTCGAATCCACTGTGAGACACCAATGTGTCCCTGAGCAAGACACTTAACCCTTCGTTCTCCAGAGGCGTGCGACCTCTGACATATATAGCAATTGTAAGTCGCTTTGGATAAAAGCGTCAGCTAAATGAAGAAATGTAAATGTTGCCTTTCGCCTGTCGCCATTGGCTTTCAGCTTGCTTAGTCGGGGACATTTAGTGTATACTCTCTGTGCTGTATGAGTAAAGCGGACTTGACTAAAGGAAGTCAATGTGGACTCTTGCTACAAAACCTCAAACCTTGACTAAAGTTTATAGCTAAGGTTATTTACACAGCCGCTCTGGAGAAAACCGTGATGTCATCAGTTCTGGTATAATGCTGTCAGTGCAGGAGATCAATAATATTGATGAATATTAAATGTCCTCAACTGAGCAGCGAAAGCCAATGGCGACACAGGTGTGGTTGAGATGATGGTGAGTTTGTGATCGAGCATGTTTGACGTTTTGGACACAAAAACACGTAATTATCAACATTAGTTGATTAATTACTTAATTTTTCTATTTTATCTATATGTTAGTCAGTGTTTTAGGCAAAGTTCTCACGTTTTTATATAGGTTTATATTAAATGTACATTTATTTCCCAGTTACACTTAACTCTCCTGGTTAAACATTACATAAAAAAGAGTACAATTGTATTTTGTATTTTTACTGTATGTAAAGTTTAAATTTCATCAACTTAATGTTTTATGCATTTTATTCCAAAAGTCAGTAAGATTTTAAGCAAACTGTATTATTTGTGAGCTGATGTAGTGTGTTTAGCAGTGATGACTGATGACTGTCTGATGAACCTTTCATTTCCCCAAGCCGATCTCTCACTAAACCCCACAGTCATCAAACAGCATTACGAGGATCTCCGAGAGGCTGTCTGTGTTCCTCGTTAGCTGGCTTGATGCCTGTTAATAACCTGTTAATAACCACATCTGCAAAAGAAGAACAGGATATATTTATAAAGCCTTGTGATTAAGCACAACTCAAACCCCTTCGCTCTGTGTATCTCGTGTTGTGTTGTGGAGCGTCCGCTGAGAGCTGATCATGTGGTGTGAGAGTCAGTGTAATCAGTTTGAGGAATGAAACATTAACCTGGCGATCACCATGAGAGACTCGGCATTCCTCTTTCTGTCCAGAAATGCACATCTGTCTGGAAGAATATTTACTGCCGGGTCTGGAATCCAACAAGCTCCAGATCTGGGAAAACCCTCTCAAGTGCCACAGGAGAACGAGCCGGCCTCTTTATCTCGATCTGCAATAAAGCGCTATCTGCCCTCATAAAGCTGGTGGTGTCCTCAGTGTTCAGCAGGAGCGCTTCATGTCCCTGCGCTGCAGATAAAGCTTCAGGCTCGTTAGAGGCCAATAAAAGACGGGTACCTGGGAACGATCGAAGTCTCCCTGTGCGAGATGCACTGAAACTCTGGATATCCTCACAGGGAATGGGAACTGATGGGTCTGAGCAGAGCAAGACACGCATGTGAAGAAGAGCTCTGATATACGGTTCGCGTCAGATCCTCAAACACACGTGCTTTATTTTAGCAGAACAATTTCATTTTGTTTAAGTTTCCACTCTTGAACTGAGTGGCAGATCTGACATGGATCACAGTGTTGGCTGCTCATTTCCTTCCCATCGACGCTGTTTTCTTAGGGAGAAGCCCAAACACGATGGGCCTGTTTATTCGGGAGAATACGCCTTTGTCTGGGCGTCCCAGGTAAGATAAAGAAGACAGAGAGAGAGAGAGAGAGAGAGAGAGAGAGAGAGGGAGTTAAGAGCGCTGCTTACAGGACCACCAGTGTTGTGTGTGTGTGGCCGCGTTCCCTGTGTGTTTGTTGCTGGGTGTGTTTGTGTACACATGCAAACATGTGTGACTAATTCAGGCAACAGGACTTTGTATGGGATCGTTCAGTGAGTTTGGAGGTGTAGTAACTCGATCACTGTCACCCTAAACTGCACATTTACTCTGGATAAACCAGTGGAAGAACGAGTGTGACGTCACGGGTCCAGAGGAGAAGAAAAATCAACAAGAGGCTTTTGTTTGCCTAGATTCACTCCAAAAAATCATGGGTTATTTGTTTCTACCCTAATCTTGGTTTGAGCCTTTTGGGTTATTTTTCCAGTGTTTGGGTAGTTTTTGTGTTACCCAGATCCTGGGTCAGACATAACAACCCAGTGTTTGAGTAGTTTTGGGGTTATACAGATCCTGGGTCAGACGTAACAACCCAGTGTTTGAGTAGTTTTGGGGTTATACAGATCCTGGGTCAGACGTAACAACCCAGTGTTTGAGTAGTTTTGGGGTTATACAGATCCTGGGTCAGACGTAATAAGACATAACAACCCAGTGTTTGGGTAGTTTTTGCATTATCCAGATCCTGGGTCAGACGTAACAACCCAGTGTTTGAGTAGTTTTGGGGTTATACAGATCCTGGGTCAGACGTAACAACCCAGTGTTTGGGTAATTTTTGTGTTACCCAGATCCTGGGTCAGACGTAATAACCCAGTGTTTGGGTAGATTTTGTTTTACCCAGATTTTGGGTCAGATGTAACAACCCAGTGTTTGGGTAGTTTTTGTGTTACCCAGATCCTGGGTCACACGTAAATAACCCAGTGTTGCGGTAGTTTTGTTGTTACCCAGCTCCTGGGTCACACGTAATAACCCAGTGTTTGGGTAGTTTTTGTGTTACCCAGATCCTGGGTCAGACGTAACAACCCAGTGTTTGGGTAGTTTTTGCATTATCCAGATCCTGGGTCAGACGTAACAACCCAGTGTTTGGGTAGTTTTTGCATTATCCAGATCCTGGGTCAGATGTAACAACCCAGTGTTTGGGTACACTCTAAAAAATGCTGGGTTGTTTTAACCCAACTTTGGGTCAAATATGGACTAACCCAGCCGTTGGGTTAAATTTTTACATTACATTTTTAACCCAACATTTCGGGTTTGTCCATATTTGACCCAAAATTGGGTTAAAACAACCCAGCATTTTTTAGAGTGTAGTTTTTGCATTATCCAGATCCTGGGTCAGACGTAATAACCCAGTGTTTGGGTAGTTTTGGGGTTACCCAGATCCTGGGTCAGACGTAATAACCCAGTGTTTGGGTAGTTTTGTGTTACCCAGATCCTGGGTCAGACGTAANATTGGTATTTGCATGATTAATAAGGGGTTTACCGTGTTTTCAGAACCTGATCACGGAAATGGCAGTAAATGCCCTGCTTACATGGAGGAGTTTTGGACTCGATGCTATAAGTACTTTTCTGATGCGAGTAACTGGATCACAGCAGAGGTAATGTGTTACAACAAGAGGACTGACGACACACTTTATTTTAGGGGTCTTTAACCACATCTAAAATACAGATGTAAAGACGCATACACAAGTGCAAGAGTGAGTTCAGGCAAGAATTTAATAAAACAAAGGAAATTGAGTTCTACATAAGTTTATTTGTGTAGAAATTAAACCTTAATGTCAACAAATAAAATTTAAAACCTTCACTTTTATAATACTGGTGTATTGTATTTATTTGGGTGTTTAAGAAATAGTTATATTGACTGGGGGGGAGTGAATTGTTAAGTGGATGTTGCTTAATTCTATGATTGAAATAATTTTTAATTTACTTCGATCAAACGTCATACTAATTGAAGTCCAAGATTTTACTTGCTAATAACAGGTATATCCTACAAGTCATCTTTCCCCAGTGATTAATGAAACCCTTACTATAAAGTGGGATTGTTATTTTGTGTAGTCAACTTTCTTTTCTGCAAATAAGTGATACCGAAAACTGGTACTGCGCAAATAATCAGAGCAAACTTTGTTTACAAATGTCTAAAATGCTGTCATTTGTTTTATAATAAAATTGATTTTTGCGTTGACCATAATCTGTCTCTTTAGAGAAACTGTCAGAGTCTTGGTGCGAATCTCGCATCTGTGAGTAATAAACTGGAAAATAAATTCCTGCTGCGTCTGTTGCCTTCTCCTTCAACACGTACTTGGATTGGTGCTCATGATGCTGTACAAGTAAGTTCAGTTGTGAGACCTATTTGTTTGTCTAAACTACAATTTCTGCTTTAAACAGTAAAGGCAAATTTTCTAATGAAGATGTTTTGACTCAAATCTGAACTAAAGCTTCTTCCTGAAGTCTGCCAATAGTAGTGCACTCTTATTCCCTCTCTTCAGGATGGACACTGGTTGTGGAGTGACGGATCTGTGTTTTCGTTCACCAACTGGTGCTCTGGAGAACCCAACAATGCTGGTGTTCCCGAAGACTGTTTGGAGATCAACTTTACCGGTAAGAATACAGCCTTTTTAATACTTAGTGAAACCCAAATGACTCATTTCATTTTGCTGAATTATAACAGTGTTTTAAGTTGAACTGTCTTTTATAAAAACACTAATGATCAGAATAACTGATTTCATTATCCCCCTTACAGCTGACCGTTGCTGGAACGACGTGCCCTGTTCAATCTCATTATCCTATATCTGTGTCCTAGACATGTGTGACTGTGTGACTACATAGGCACCTAAACCGGTGTTTTGATTGAACTACTTCTCTCCTCACATTAATAAAAGCATTGAAGAACCCAAATGTGTGTTGCCAAATTTCTGTGTAAAAATGGAAGTATTTTGTGTTGCAAGGGTTTGAGAATCTGGTTATTAGAAAGGCATTAAATGAGATCGTTGGGGTTTAAACTGCACACATGGATAAGGTCCACCCACGCAATGGACCGATTGACAGCTTAAAGGATTAGTTCACTTTTGAAAACTTTTGTTGATAATTTACTCACCCCCATGTCATCCAAGATGTCCATGTCTTTCTTTCCTCAGTTGAAAAGAAATTTAGGTTTTTGAAAACATTCCAGGATTTTTCTCCATATAATGGACTTCAATGGGAATTCAAATGAGGCGCGTTTGCAACGTCACGTACGTAATTACGTTCAAAAGGTCACGGGCGACGTAGCCGAAAGTACAGTCAGTGTTTACAAGTTGAACGCATAGGTTGAACGTGCAAACTAACTCAAACGCCGTTTACAAAAAAGGAATTAAAAGGAAAAACAACGATGTCGGACGATTTTGATTCTGTACTTCCGGCTACGTGACCTTTTGAACGTAATTACGTATTACGTGACGTTACAAACGCGCCTCAGAGAATATAGCAAGGCTAGCATCTGTCCTTAGAAAAGGTACATTTTTGGAATAAGTTTTGAAATAAGCGATCGTTTCGCATGATAAGACCCTTATTCATCATCTGGTGTCGTTTAAAGACATTTAAAGCTGCATCTGAAACTGTTATTAACTGTCGTTTGGACCTTGAACCATCCGGTTCCCATTGAAGTCCATTATATGGAGAAAAATCCTGGAATGTTTTCATCAAAAACCTAAATTTCTTTTCGACTGAGGAAAGAAAGACATGGACATCTTGGATGACATGGGGGTGAGTAAATTATCAGCAAAAGTTTTTTCAAAAGTGAACTAATCCTTTAAGCATGTAAAGGCAATTTCACTATATTATTTCTCATTTATATTAGACTTTCAATAAATCTCCTTGTTTATGATGTTTTATAAACAAGGTTTGGGAGGAGCACGTTCAAATAAATCATTCCAATCAACTCGTCACCAAACAATTATATGTCTACTTTATCAGCACGAGAGGAAGTTCATTTATATATATTCACCGTCAACTCACCTAACGTTCATTCAGAGCAAAGCGGACCGCACTCGGACACATTTCTAACCGGCATGCGTCTCGTGGTGATCATCAGTGATCGGTTCTGTGCAGATTTTGCTCATGTCAAACAAGCCTATTCTAATAAACATATCCTCAAACCTTGCAATACTATATAGGCCTGCTTACATTTTTATTGATTTGGATTGTAAACAATGCACAATTTACATTTTCAATGCTTTTATTAATTTGAGGAGTGTTTCAAAATAGATTAAAGTTTAGAAGAGATTTGATTTCAGAATAACATTTTTGTAAAGATAGGGGGCACAACCTAACGCGGGGTTAAATGTAACACGGGCCAGTCAGGCATTTTATTGTATTCATTCATCCATTTATATTTCATTTGATTCAGTGACATTTAATTAAATTGATAGACTTTAGCTATTTGCTAGCAGAAGCACATATTAGCATCTTGAATGGTAAGATTTACATGCTCATTCATTCAAAGCAATTGAAAATGATGAAATCAGTCGACAGGCAAACAAAATTCTCCACTCTTCTCCACAATGGTAACCCACTGTCATTTAAATGGTTTAATAATTCCAATGTAATTTAACATTAAACACTATTACACACTATCAAGTCTTCCCCTTTTCTAAATTTCTAAAAAACAACAACCATAAAATAACACTTAATTTTAACATTTATTATTCTCTCTTAATTCAACCATGTGCAAAGCATGCTGGGAACTAAAAGCACTGCCCAGGTTCAGTTGAGGCAACACAAATCAATCATGTAATCAAACACAAACGGATTAAGTAAACTTAAGTTGTTCGTAGATTTAAGCAGATTGAACACAATCAAATTAAGTTCGGCAAAATGGCAGTCGGCTCGCACTATACTGCCACCCTCTGGATGTACACATTTTTTTACTTAATACATGGTTTGTGTTTAGACAACACATTAGGATTTTGTACTGTTAAGTTGAGACACAATTATAGACCTTAATAGAAAAAAAACATTTAAAGTCGAAAAATAAAATTATTATAAGTAAACTATATATAAATATGTAAAGTGCACAACCTCCCTAGTTCATTTTTTTGAGTGCAAGCAAACTCGATCATAATCATTACAAAGAGTAAAGATCAAGAGCATAACAAGGTCATATCTTGTTTTTCCCCTATGTATTTTTTACTGTTTATGGCTCCAAAACACTACTTCGAAACAAAGGATTTATAAATGTTTCGTGCTTTGAAATTGAATGTGCTTAATACTCTGTCATCAAAACAAATGATCTTCCAGTCTTTGATCCGGTCTTTAACGATGTAATATCTGTAATGTTTATGATGAACAACTCTGACTCTTTTATTATACTGTACCCTTAAATTGTCATTTAGGCCTATGTGTGATTCATTGCTGTTTATCAGTTAAATAAGTTATATTCAGTTTTCTTTTCAATACAGGGATTTATTGGTGTGACAGTTTTACACTTGTGGGTTTGCTGCATACAGTTATAGTCCACAACAAAATGAAAACAGGAACATAACAAGTTAAGAAAAAACACAGCAGTTAACAACGAAATATAAAATGGATGACATTAAAGAATGAAATGAAATATTCAAGAATATGGCCCAATACGACAGATTCGAGTAATAAACCCTTTACAATCAAGCATAGAAAAGGCTAAAGTATTTCAATAACAAAACCGGAAATAAGCCTAAATCCCACAATATTTATGACTTCTGTTCTGTTCTCCTGTCATCCTCTTGACGCTCTGACGTCATTGACCAGAAGAACAACAGCAGCCGCAGCAGCCACGCCCATCAGCGCAGTGACGACCAATCGCAGCACAGCTTCAACAGAATCACAACAGGGGGCGTGGCCTTCTGAATAGTTCTTGTTTTCTGCTCCACACAAGAAAAATAAAGTCAGAACTGTTCAGAAAGACACAAGTACATGATGACAGACGCTCCTTCATTCTTTATGTCATCCTAAGTTCTCAGTCTCGATAAAATCAACACATTAATTCAGTGATTCAGTGGTGCTGTACCTGCACATGTGTGTCTGCAGAGTGTGTTGATGTCCAGATGTGTGGTCTGGTTGCTGATGGGATTGTTCAGCACACAGCTGTAGGTGTTTTTATCCTGATATTCCACCTCCAGAGGTAGAGAGAGACTGATGCTGAGATCACACACACTGATGCTGGACAATACACTCATTCCTGCGTACCAGGACAGAGTCGCATCACACACACTCAACACTGATGATGAACACACCACTGAACAATTTGAAGAACATTGTGAAGAGTTACTGATGATGACGGGAACAGGCAGACGAGCTGAAATATGAATAAATATAGCCTAAACATCAATCCTACAATGTGTTTAGTCTGATCACAGTTAGTGTTTCTGATCTCAAATTATAAAATTTCAGTAAATAAAACATTTAAATAAGAAAATTTGAAAGGAAGAACAAATGATCTCTACTCACCATAGACAGAAACACTGAATGTTTTTGATGTTATTTTTGTTCCTCTTATCTCTAGTCTATAAACTCCAGCATGTTCAGTTGTGGTGTTTGTGATGGTCAGAGATCCAGTTTGATCGTCCAGCTTCAGTCTGTCTCTGAATCTCCCATCAGGAACATCATTAGAAGTGTAGAAGATTTGGTTCTCAATGATGATTTGAGCTATCAGAGAGTTTTCAGCTCCATATTTCCACAGTATATCTTCATCTTCAGGTATTTCAGTGAGATCAGTGTTTAGAGTAACAGAATCTCCCTCCATCACTGACACTGAATCACCAAACACACCTGATGAACACACAGATTTACACAGATTAAAGCTCCTGTTGTTAATAAAGCCTGAATGAGTTGTCGTTTGTAACCCTTAAATGTGAATTAAAGAACAGCAGCAACACAAAAGAAAATGAAAGGTGAAATACACTGATGTGTGTGAACCAATTATTAGATCTTCATGGTTTCGTGTCTGCTTGTACATTCAAATAAATGTGTGAAGTTGTACATTCAAGCTGTAATAAATAAATATAATTCTGCAACTCACTTTCAATACATTTAATATTAAACATAATGAGCAGGATCTGCTGTTTTTGATCCTGTCATATTTTTCTCTTGTGGTTTAAAATAGATCTCACAAAACACAATAATAATTTAGTTTGAGCATCTTTTTTCTGGGAAATCCTCTGTTTGTCTATTATTTCTCTATAAATAATTCTATAAAAAATAAAATAAAAAATATAAAAATTCTATAAAAAATAAAACTCACCGGCCAGACGACACACGCAGAACAACACACACATGTGAAGCATTGTCAGATCTCTATATGTGAACACTTCAGAGACAGAGAGAAAGTGAACTAACAGGACAGTGTTAAACTGTGAGAGAGTGTTTCTGCGTCTGATTCCTCCACCAATAATATTTCAACACCTCATTCTCTCTCTCTCACTTCACACACACTGATACTCTGGTTATTAATATGCCTCTGCATTAGTATTAGTATGTATTGCACTGTTGGAGATGACGGACCGGACACAGTATCTTTTCAGTTTTTGTTTTTGCAGCCGTACATTTTTAATATTTTATTGTAGGCCTATGATCAATATTTTGCTATTAAGAGTGTGATGGTCTTTGGATAGTCACTAATGGTTACTAGCTAACACTAACTTTGTTTTCCATCAGTCGATCACACACACACAAACCACATGTATGAATACAGACACACTGATGACGCAGAAGCTGTTTATTTTCATCCACATCCAACCGCATCTCTGAACAGAAGTCAGTCGAGGTTTACTTTGAGCCGCTCGAGTCTGAGCAGTGAATCACACTCATGTACGGCCTGTGAATCTTGTTTTGCTGTATTTTTTTAAATAGGTTATATTTTATAATATTTTTCGACAGATTTATTAAAATACTCATAAGATCACATTCATTGATTAACAACTTAAATCCACAAGCAGATTAATCTAAAAACACACTGTTCTGTCGTTTCTTCTGCATGATAATTTTTTTTTAAAAAAAATCATGTTTACTGAAATCACAGTGCAGAATATTTACTGTTATAGTCTTTACAGAACAGATTAATAAAAATAAAAATCGTTGCCCATACATATATTTCAAACAATTTATTCTATGATTATTTATTTATTTCCTTAGTAACATTTTGATTCTGACATGTCTGTAAAAACACAAGATCTTCCAGAAGAACTGAACTTCATGCTGACTGTAGTAGTCCTGTAGGGGGCGCTAAACTCCATCAGTCATACAACACACACACAAACAGAAGAAGAAGAAAAAGTGTTGATGATGCGTCACGCTATATCATGATATCTTATGAACTGAAAGTGGCTTTATTTAAAAGTATTGTTATTAAAATATGTTAGCAATACTGTCACTTAAATATTAAATAAAACAAAAATGACATGAATATAGGCAACACTATAAGCTCCGCCCCTCACGTGTGTCCCGTGTCTGCTGGTCTGAAACTGCTGGTTCTGCAGTGGATATCTCAATAATAGGCTACCTTTTTTTCTGAGAGTGCACGACTATCCGGAACTGCACTCACATCAGAGAAATAATTTATTCATCAACAAGGCTAACGTTTGGTGTCACCACCAGAGTTTGAAATTCATTTCACACAAAATGTCTAGTTAGTTGGCTGTGGCGAGCAGGACGATCGAGGGACGGCACGAGGCCGGTGGCGTGAGTGATAATGAAAGGCAAGAGACGCACCGAGGAGCGGGAGCATAAACGGCAGATCGAGAGAGAAACAAGCCTGATTTTCTGTTGTGTGTGGACATCAGTCGTCAATGAGGGGCTGTTGGCTTATACTTTCGTTTTGTATTTGTTCATTTTACTATTAAAATGTTTAAATGTTCGCCGATTCCCGCCTCCTTCTTCCCACAACAACAAACCCCGTTAACGTTACATTGAAAAACTCATTAGTGAATTAGCCTACTCCTCGTTTCTAAATATGGGGAATTGGGCTACTGTTCAAGCAGGAAGAAAAACACTTAAATCCTTATTTCTTCCATCTCAGGGGAAAATAAGGGAATAAACCGACCGTTCAAAAAATATGACTGGGTTTCTAAAGATACAAAGCTTAATGCAAATGGGTGAAGTGACCCTTTAATAGAGAGTGGCTTTCCGAAGACGGGCTTTGGTTTCCATGTCATGTGGATCCGGTGTTGATGAGCGGGTGGAGTTTTTTTTTATTTTTTATTATTTTTTATTATTGTAAATTACAAAAATTAGTCAGATACTTTCAAACACCAAACAGAAATAAAAAGGTTAACAAATTTCTCATATAGCGGGTGCAGGTGTGGTGAGTCAGTCCTCTGGTGATGACGAGTGGGTGGGCGCACTAGCGGCGGCAGGATTTTGATTGTAGGTGGGCCTTCAGAAAACTGGATGGGCCCGTCCGTAAGGCAAAAAAAAAAAAAAAAAAAAAAAAAAAATCCCCTTCATATCCGTTTCAGCGCTTTTCTGCGGCACTGTGGACAGCGACTCAGTAAGCCTATAACTTGATTTATCTCTTTTGAATGTTTAATACACAAAAAGACTGAAACGGAATTATATCTTTGGAGGGTCTCTGTTTCTCTCTCCAGTTACGGGCAGGGAACTGTCCAAAATTATTTAACTGTTTCTTATAAAGTTAGAATGACAGAAGAACTTTATCGACATGAAATAACAGCAGCACTGAATCTGACACAGCTGCTAAACAAAAACAGCAGGAAAACGATACAAAATTATTTAACTGTTTTTTTTTATTTATTCAGAATGATAGAAGAACTGTACCAACATGAAATAATTAAATGAACAACATATCTAACCAAAGTGGGGAGCCAGAGCATGCCATGGGAGGCGTGGAGAGTGGTAAAAATTATATGCCTATAATTAGATTAAATAAAAAAGTTAAATTGTTATTATTCTGAAAAAAAGGCCTCGATTACTCTGCAGGTCTTGATGCCCAATTCTAATTTGTTACATTTCTCCGATTTTTTTTTTTTTTTTTTACCGTCCGTTTACACGTTCTTTCAACTTTATCCGAGTCATGTGTTTACACTTGCCATATAGCCATATCTAAAAACATCGCGCTTGCTTAAAGGGTGACCATATTTTGATTATCAAAAACCAGGACAATCGGCCCGGCAATGAGATACTCAAATGATACTCGAAGTTTACTCAAAGATGCCTTAATTTCAATAATTTAATAGGGTATGCCTCCGTATATAAATGGTTACATTACAAAATACTATCTATAACCAAAGACCAAATTCAGATAGGCTTCTCAGAGGTTATACTCTACTCAACATGTTTTATTATGACAGGTTTCAAAAATAATGATAGAAATAATGTCTCTTCTGTATTAGAAATAAATAAATAAATAAATAAATAAAAAATAGCCTACCTCCAAATTGAACCAAAATAGCTCTCACAAACTTAACAAAAACCTAACTAACAAAAGTTGTTTATATATTTAGGTTTCTTCTTCCTCTTTTTCATGTTTTTCTTTTTAAATGGCCCAATGAAAAATAATTAAAACCAGGACATTTTCATCACTTTATAAAAAACAGCCACGACAAGACGTGAAAACAGGACATGTCCTGGCAAAACAAGACGTTTGGTCACCCTAGCTTAAAGGGTTAAATTCTCTTTTTTACAGATGGACGAACGTGAAACATGCTTGATGCTAAATCTGCAATTTATGCGAAGATCTCCAAACATTACCATGATTTTGAGGAGGAGGACGACGAAAAGTGCCATCATTGCTGCCTGCGCATGGCCGCATGCGCTTCAGTTATTGTGTGCGAGAGAAATCTCAGGACTGGTGGAAGCATATTGTGTTTAAATATAGGCTTTAACGAGGAGCAGTGGGTCCGAAATTTTAGGAAGAGCAAACCAACCTTTTTGATATGTTGATATGCGTCAACGTTTGTCCACAAACATTCACGTTTTCTCTACGGCGTTTTGTCGGGCAATCCATCCCTTTGCAGATGCGCGTCGGCTCTCGTCATTAAACCGCGGAGAAGTGGTCTAAATGCATTGACATCTGATTCATTTCCAATTTATTTCCACATATGAATGAGGCCTGAAACCGATCTCGAAATAGCCGAATGCATGCGTTTTTTTTTCCTGTTTACATGGTCACAAACACATCCGATCTGTCACAGTGTCACATTCATGAGCAAAAAATTATAAGTTGGTTACGGGAGGACTTGATGCAGAGAGGGCGGCCGAGCAGGATGGTAACTCTTCATTGAAGTAGGCTAACCGCGTTACTATATGGCAGGAGTTTCCTCCTCCTGCTCCTCGGAGCGTTTTTTATTTTTTTATTGCTAAATTTAAATGAAAACAAGCTGCTTTGCTTTTCCATATTACGCTTCATTTTAGCTAATAGCTACCGACTGTTTCTGTCTCATTGAAAATCTTGCGCGCTAACACGTGAGGTAGAAGCTGCTGATTGGTTTAGAAGCTTTCACTCAAAGTTTTCCTCTGGCTGCTTATTGGATGAACTGAGAATGAAAATCCGTACGCCTGCGAGGTCTCTGCAGACGGTAATAGGAGTTACCCGCCTGGCTCAAAATGGGCGGGCCCGGACCTAAAATGGGTGGGCCCAGGCCCACCCAGGCCCAATGGTAGCGCCGCGGCTGGGTGGGCGGAGTCGGGTGATCGGGCGCTGATGGTGCGGCAGGTGTTACTGATGATTCCGGGACACTTATTTGAGTATAAATATCACCCGTCTTCATTAGATATGACAATGTTAAGGTGGTTCACCGGCTCTAGTTCTTCACCAAATCTTTCTCTGAGACTCTGAAGGGAACAATTTAAAAGCCAAAGTGAGTTCTGCATTGATGTTGTTCCTGAAGTGTTTTTGTGTTTAAATGCATTGAGGATCGCAGTGTGCATGCATGCAGAGATTTAACTTTTCCTGCTTATTCATTTCAGGTTCATCATGGCAATGCTGAAAAGTTGTCTGCTTCTCTTCATTATCTTCTCCATGGGGAATACAGAAGGTAACCAACACATTTATTTGTAAAAAACTCTTGCTATTTAAACCATCTTGAAAATGTACAATATTCCATTGATTGGTATTTGCATGATTAATAAAGGGTTTTACCGTGTTTTCAGAACCTGATCACGGACATGCCAAATGCCCTTCTACATGGAGGAGTTTTGGACTCAGATGCTGCAAGTACTTTTCTGATGCGAGTAACTGGATCACAGCAGCGGTAATGTGTAACAACATGAGGACTGACACACTTTATTTTAGGGGTCTTTAACCACATCTAAAACACAGATGTATAGACGCATGCACAAGTGCATTGATTAGTTTAAACTGATTAATGATTCTGTGGTGACGTAAACGATACAGGAAAAATACTAATGTAATCTCTGAAAGGACGAGTGAGTTCAAGAATTTAATAAACAAAGGAAATTGAGTTCTACATAAGTTTATTTGTGTAGAAATTAAACCGTAAATGTCAACAATATACAATTTAAAACCTTCACTTTTGTAATACTGGTGTTCCCATCATGCACTGGGGCATGCATTTCTTTTCTCCACTTTCATCGCTTTTGCTGTTAAGTTTAGAAACTTGCCATTTTGTGACATCTGGATTAACTTTCTACTCAAACTAACACTATCTTTTAAACTTTGAGGTCATTGTGTATTGGTGTTCAGGTGACATGTTACTTGTATCATAGCGATAAAGGATGTAGTATATTCAATACCTATTGTATTTATTTGTATGTTTGTAATTAACATTTATATTGACTTAGGGGGGGAAAGTGATTTAAGTAGCTAGATATTATAGCTCTGTGTGAAGTTAAATATTAATGTTTTATTTACTTCAATCAGATGTCAAACTAATTGAAGTCCAATAGTAAGTAGTTTCTACTTGCTAATAACAGGTATATCCTACAAGTCATCTTTCCCCAGTGATTAATGAAACCCTTACTATAAAGTGGGATTGTTATTTTGTGTAGTCAACTTTCTTTTCTGCAAATAACTGATGCAGAAAACTGGTACTGCGCAAATAATCAGAGCAAACTTTGTTTGCTAATGTCTAAAATGCTATCATTTGTTTTATAATACAATTGATTTTTGCGTTGACTATAATCTGTCTCTTTAGAGAAATTGTCAGAGTCTTGGTGCGACTCTCGCATCTGTGCGTAGTAAACTGGAAAATAAATTCATGCTGAGTCTGTTGCCTACTCCTTCAACACGTACTTGGATTGGTGCAAATGATGCTGTACAAGTAAGTTCAGTTGTGAGACCTATTTGTTTGTCTAAACTACAATTTCTGCTTTAAACAGTAAAGGCAAAGTTTCTAATGAAGTTGTTTTGACTCAAATCTGAACTAAAGCTTCTTCCTGAAGTCTGCCAACAGTAGTGCACCCTTTTATTCCCTCTCTTCAGGATGGACAGTGGTTGTGGAGTGATAAAGCTGTGTTTTCGTACACCAACTGGTGCTCTGGAGAACCCAACAATTACCAGCAGCGTCCCGAGAACTGTTTGGAGATCAACTTTACCGGTAAGAATACAGCCTTTTTAATACTTTGTGAAACCCAAATGACTCATTTCATTTTACTGAATTATAACTAGGGTTGGGTATCGTTTGAATTTGAACGATTCTGATTCCGATTCCTTGTTTCGATTCCGGTTCCTAACGATTCTCGATTTCGATTCTTTTAAGAGGCAGGGTCAAAAGTTTAGCTAACCAACGGTCTTTCTGAAGGAAATGCTCCTTCTGTCACAAATACTTGTCTCAAATGCATTTTGCGTTTTGCCGAGATTTTGTTAATTTTTAGAAAAGTGAAGCCACACTTTGGACCGCCGACGTAAGCTACTCATGTTCGACTCGCGCGGTTATGCCAACACTTCCGGTAGACGCTTCTTCGTTGGTGTTGTTCAGCGGTTTCTTCTTCCGCTCGGCGGACTGTGAATATCGAAACTAGGAATTGAAATTTTAACTTTTGAACGATTCCGGGAAAAACGAAAAGTTAGTCCCGGTTCCACTCGATACCCAACCCTAATTATAACAAAGTGGTTTAAGTTGAACTGTCTTTTATAATAACACTAATGATCAGAATAACTGATTTCATTATCCCCCCCCCCCCCTTACAGCTGACCGTTGCTGGAACGATGCACCCTGTTCAACCTCATTATCCTATATCTGTGTCCTAGACATGTGTGATGCGTCTATATGGGCATAGACGCATCACACGGTGTTTTGATTGAACTACTTTTCAAGTGTTATTCTTAAATTAAATTTCTACTAAGCTTGAATCTCTTATATCTTTCTCTGACCTTCTCCTCACATTAATAAAAGCATTGAAGAACCCAAATGTGTGTTGCCAAATTTCTGTGTAAAAATTGAAGTATTTTGTGTTGCAAGGGTTTGAGAATCTGGTTATTAGGCACTAAATGAGATCATTGGGGGTGGGGTTTAAACTGCACACATGGATAAGGTCCACCCACGCAATGGACCGATTGACAGCTTAAGCATGTAAAGGCAATTTCACTACATTATTTCTCATTTATATTAGATTTGCAATAAATCTCCTTGTTTATGATGTTTTATAAACAATGTTCGGGAGGAGCACGTTCAAATAAATCATTCCAATCAACTCGTCACCAACCAATTATATGTCTACCTTATCAGCTCGCGAGGAAGTCCATATATTCACTGTCAATTCACCTAACATTCATTCAGAGCAAAGCGGCCCGCACTCGGACACATTTCTAACCGGCATGCATCTCGCGGGGATCACCAATGCACAATTTACTTTTGTAATGCACAATTTACCTTTTCAATGCTTTTATTAATTTGAGGAGTGTTTCAGGGAAGATATTTAAAATAGATTCGTTCTCTCGCGAATTTGCGGAGAGTTTTGCTAATATTTTGTGAAGATACTGGACAGAGTGTTTTGACCAACACAGTCTCATGAAGATGCGTATCTTTACCACGAATGTCATTTCTCGTGGTATTTATATTCCAAAAATGAAATTTCCTGCGTGCTTATGCTATACGCACTAAACAACCCTGGGGTAGGTTGAGGGGGGTGGGGAGTTTGTGCTTTATTATATGCCAAAAAGTGCGTGTCATATGCACGCGAAAAAAGTATGCCATATACACGCGAAAACTGTTAAATGCTGTATAAATGCCACGAGAAATGACATTTGTGCTATAGATACGAACTTTCATGAGATCGGGCTCATTTTGACACAATGCAAGCAAATTTTTTCATCACAGGTTTTTTTCGGTTTCTGAGTTGGGTGTATACGTCTCCAAATCTAACTTTATATTGCCTTAATCACTGTCTTGTTGGCTCAAACATAGCACCGTTTTGAAACATGTCAGCAATTGCTGTTAGCTAGGTTTAAAATATGTAATACACAGAGGGGTTAGTTGTAAACAGGCCGCCAAGTGTAATGATAATCAAATGAAAACAGAGAGACACAACTTTTCAGGTTTGAGTATTTATTTATACATTTAACTTTGTTGGACTTTCACAAACAATGTTGTAATTAAAAATGTTCAACATTTAGTTTAGTATGCATTGATCACTTGTTTATTTATTAAAAATATGGCCTGTTTTTAATGCAATAAACCCTTTACATTTTTATTTTAAGCTCATTTGTATTATTATAACTGTTATTATTATTGATAATAATAATTTTACATGCAGCTGCAAAACTGTGCAGCTCTTTTCTATATCCATGAAATTGATCCATAATAGTAGAATGATTGGATGAGAGATGGATGCATGGGAATCTACTGTATCTATATGCACAAACAATATCAAACTATACAAATAAAATAGTCCTGAATTATGTGTGTTACACACAAGTGTTACAACTAACCCCTCTGTCTGTGACAATTAGTACAAAAAGTTGTAACATTTGCACTTCTGTCACTTTCAGTGCAACAATACAATAATGGTAGGTCCTAGAATAAAACTTTAAGTGTTCATTTGTAGCAGAGATGTGTATGTTGCATGTGTAAAAAAAGTTGAATCTAACTCAATAATTTTTTTAATAATTGAGCCAAAACCAAAATGTGTTAGGTTGTGCCCCGCTCTTCTCTAATATCAGAAAGATGTAGTAAATAGTTCGATCAAAGTATCCGTGGAGCAGAATCACAGTCATACAAGTCTTTACCACAAATATAAGGTAATGAGTTTGAACAGGACGCATCGTTCCAGCAACGGTTAGCTGTAAGGTGGAATAATGAAATAAGTTATTCTTTGGAAAATCCAAATTGAGTCATTTCATGTCATTACTGTATGATGTAAAATTGTAGGATTGTAAATTATGACTGAAAGTATTAAAAAACAGACTGCAGTCTTACAGATATGGTTGATCTCCAAACAGTTCTCGGGATGCTGCTGGTAATTGTTAGGTTCTCCAGAGCACCAGTGGGTGAACAAAAACACAGATCCATCACTCCACAACCAGTGTCCATCCTGAAGAGAGAAGAGAGGGAATAAAAGAGTGCACTACTGTTGGCAGACTTCAGGAAGAAGCTTTAGTTCAGATTTGAGTCAAAACATCTTCATTAGACACTTTGCCTAGCAGAATTTTTAGCTGAGACAAACAAATTGGTCTCTTTACACTCAAAAAAAAAAAAGTTGGCTTTTTGAGTGTTTTTCTCTCCAAATCCTGGGTTGAGCGTCTTGGGTGTTTATTTTTTCAGTGTGTGGGTAGTTTTCTTGTGTTACCCAGAGCTTGGCTTTTGCCACAGGTCTCTTCAGGAGCAAGTACAGCGCTGTCAAAATGGTGCATGTCTTAAATGTTATGCAAATAAGCAACTTGAATTGCTTGAATGTTTAATGTTTAGATTTAATATTTCTTAAACAAGCTTAAATGTTGGCATTATGTATTAAAAATGAAAGTATACTGTACTGATTGGGAAATTCTAATTAAGGACATTATCATTTCAACTATTATTAAAAATGTTTATAGGATTTAAGTTAATCCATAGACATTAATTAATAAATAATAATAAAAAAGAATCAGCTTTCATAAGTTAATCAACCCAATATGCTGGGTTAAATAAACAACCCAATTTGCTGTGAAATTAACCTATGAGTTCTGTCCTTTATGGGTTGTTTTTAACCCAGTGTTTTTTTTAGTGTAGTGAACTTACTTGTACAGCATCATTTGCACCAATCCAAGCATGTGTGGAAGGAGAAGGCAACAGACTCAGCAGGAAACCATTCTCCGGTTTATTACGCACAGATGCGAGATTCGCACCAAGACTCTGACAGTTTCTCTAAAGAGACAGAGTTTTTTATTGTCAATATAAAATATTTTTTAGCATAACACAAAAGTGACAAAAATTTAGGCATTTACAAACAAAGTCTGCTCAGAGTGACTGATTATTTGCTGTCAAAATTTTCTGCATTATTTATTTGCAGATAAGAAAGTTTTACTTTAAAACAATTACATTCCCACTTTATATTAAGTATCTTTAACTATCACTGAAAAAAACATTGTAGGGTTTCCTTGATAAAATCACATTTTACAACACATTTTCAAGTAAATTTGACTGATACTGCTCTGTACAACTTACCTATTATTATAATAAAGTAAAATCTACTCAATTTTGAACTTTACATTTAATTGAAACAATTAAGTATTACCATATTTTTACCATTTTTACCATTATTATTACCATTATGGTAAAAATTATTACCATTATTACCATTTTTAACCTGTAGCACTTTGAGATCCTTGGATGAAAAGTGCGTTATAAATTAAACGTATTATTATTATTATTATTACCATATAATCATTTTATATTTAATTTCACATATAGACTAAAGTACCATCTTTTTAAATAATTTCAATAAATTTGATAATTAACTTCTTAATCAATATAACACTGAATTATACCACACATTTAAAGCATATACTAATAATTCAACAGATATTGAAATTTCATAATGGATAATTAAATATTAAAGAAAATTTATGACAACAGAGACCTCAATACTTGGTACACAATATATAGATCAATTTTGAGTAGGAAAATGAATCCAGATACACACACTCTTCAGCGTTCTGTGAAAGACACATCACACAACATATATTAAGATATTTCAAACAAAAACAAATAATTAGCATAAACTGCAAAGTCTTCCCTATGTTAAATCTTCACAACACAAGCTGAATGGGAAAACTGACATTATTGTATTAATCTTAACATTAATATGAATTTGTGTCTGAATACAGTAGTTTGAGTTTCTAAACTAATGCATTTGCATCAACATTGATTTAAACACATTTCCCCATCATAAATGTATATGCACACGAACTAGGTGAACAATAACAATAAAATAAAGACATTTGGGGGTACTCTTTCTCTAAACATTAACATTACAGGGAATGTTATTATGAGCCCCACAATAGCTTCTTTTAGAGAAAATATCTGAGACAAATAAATAATAAATATCTGAGAAAATATTTTTGAGAAAATATCTGATGTGTGCTGATGATTATAGAAACAAAATCACACACACACTGATCTCCATCTGACTCACTGCTGAATGAGACAAACACACACAACAGAAACTAATGATAAATGATCTTACCGATGTTTGTGTCTTTTTCATTGAACGATGGATGAAGTGACATAACAACACATGTTTTCTCATCTTCACGAATCTGAACTGTATGAACTGGAAGAGATTATTTATTTATTTATTTATTTATTTTACGATATGTGTGATTATTAGGCTGTCGACGTTATTGCACACAATTAATTACATATATTTAATACTGATATTTTATAAAAATATCAAAATTGAATTTGACATCATTACTTTTCTCACACACAAATCATCATTATTTCCAGAGTAAAAGTAAATACAGAATCAGTTTGTGTGTGTGAGACGAGTAAAGAGCTGCTCAGATCAATGCAACAACCAGTAACAAACATTATTTAACGTTGTAAATACATATTTAAATATTAAATTATAAAATGGGCTATCAATTGATAAAATTTAGAGTGGATTTTATTATTATTTGTTTACACTTGTTAAAAGCAGGTTACTCTTGCCTTGATCAGTTTTCCTACATTTCTTGCAGATGCAGAAGATCACGACGACTACAGCAACAATCATCAGAGATCCAGCTGGGATCAACACTATCAGAGACACTGAGACTCGAGGAACTGAAGGAGAGAGAGAAAGAGAGACAGTCATTAGTGTGAGTGAGTGAATGCATCAGTGTGATCTAGTGATGGCCGGTTCGTGAACGAATCGTTCTTTTGAACCGGTTCTTTTTAGTGAACCGGTCGAACCAGTACACTAAATCGGACTGAATCGTTCGAAACAGTTCG